ATCAGACAACAATAACATCATCCTGGCTAGTCCCCGCTTCTCCCTCAGGTGCATCCTCGGTCTCGCTTTCACTGTCGTCGGAGAAAGAACGCTTCTCATGGAAGAACTGCTTCACATGGCGCAGCATAGCTGGAGTGTTCCACCGCATCCCGGGGTTCTCAGGTCGCGCCTTTTTGCGCACGGCTACAACAGTTTTGGACATACAGTTGGCGAGAACCCTACTGAACGCCTCCGAAGAGCGGTACACCTTCACAGCGCCCTTGGTGGCAGCTATCACCGCTTCAGTTTTCTCCGCTTCTAACTCAGAGCGGATCTTGGCGACCTCCGCATCATGCTCCGCAGCTAACCTTGCCTTCTCCTCCCCAATCTGCTTGTTAGCCTCCTCCCAAACCTCCCGCCGAACTTCTTCGCGCACAGCTCTCTTTTCTGCCTCGAGATCAGACTCCAACTTAGACTCCAGCTGCCCAACCTTCAACATCGCATCATTGCACTGTTTAACCACCTCCGAGTACCGCCGCTCAGACTCAGCAACCTTCCCCTCCAGCTCCTTCGCACGTCCGGACTCAGTAGTAAACTGAGTGGTCAGGTCATCCCTCTGCTTTTGAGCAAGGAATGTCGCCAGCAAGCCCTATAACAAAATAGACGCGCAAAGAAAAATATTAGAGCCAAACAAGCAAAGGAAAAGATACGCCAATAAAACAAGCGCGTATTCGAAAACTCACAGCAAACAGGGCCTGGGACAGGTCACCGAGCGGATCGCCCCTGTCCATTCGGGATGGAATGGTCAGCGCGGGTCCAACAGCCTTAATGGCACTCTTAGCCGCCGCAATGGACTGCGCGGCACCTGAATGAATGCGCACATCGCGCATACAGTTGGGAACAAGGTCCCCAAACCCCGTCATCGCGGGGAGGGTTTGCTGCAACGAGCGGCCAACGGACCCACTTCCACTCGCGCCACCTGCCCCCAACAGCTTCTCGGATCGCGGAGGCTTCATCTTACCACCCTCAGCAACTTCAACTCCAGCAACTCCTTTCTTCTTACTCCCATGACCAGCGTCTTCCTCAACGCGCGCCTTCTTACCCCCCGCAACATCGTCCTCCCGGCCTTGTCGCTTCTTATCGCCGCGCGATGTCCTCTTCGTCTTTGGCTCATCCTCTGTTGAAATCATACTCGCCACGGTCGAATAGTCGACTCCTACAACAAGCATGTGTAAGGATTACATTAATACGTAGTGAATAAATCACACAAAGGAAAGCAACTAACCATCACGGTACAACTCCGCGAGCAAAGGAGCGCGAACTGATTTATCGTAGAGGTCGATCTTCTCATCCAAGAGCATCTCATAATGCGCGTTGAGCCCATCATACGCTCCTACCTCCGACTCGAACCGCCTAATATCTCCAACAGACCAGGGAGACATTATGGGCGCGTATTCACTCGACCACTCCTTCGGCACGGGCTTGATATAGAAGAATCGTTGGAACCACGGCTTGTCCAACTTTGGCGAGCCATACACGTAACCGCTGTTACGTCGGTCGCGCCTCTTCACGCAGATGCCAGTAGCTTTCTCCGGTACGCGCATCTTATAACACTTGCGGAAAAGCCCATAAGAGGGCGGGATGTTGCACCGTTTACAAGCCAGCCGGAACATGCACGTATGCAAGATAACGGAGGGCGAGAACCGCGCGAGAGAACACTTTATGGTGCGCAACAACGCGCACAGAATCGGCTCAAGTGGAAATTTCAGCCCCATCCGCCAATACTCAGTGTATACCCCAATCCACCCCTTGGGGCAGTTCCCAATACGACTCCGCGCACTCGGAACCGCGTACTTCCAGTGGGGTGGAAGACCCAGCCCGCGCACAAGCTTCTCTACGTCGCGCCTATTGAGCTCGGACACTATATCCGGTCCGCGCAAGAGATTGTCGCTAGGGACTTCGCCGCCCTCGAACATGTCCGCCCACTCCAAGACGGTATACTGCGCCCCTAAGCCGCCAACTCCAAGGCGGCTAACTGCCTCTGTCACGCGGACTATAGGCTGCAAAGGCACCGACTCCGCAGGGCGGTCCGACTCGGTCTCGGAAACATCGAGCGAGTTAGACCGCCCTGGGGAGTCGCCGCCGTCGCGACGCACTACCAACACCCCACGGGGGGCATCTACCGCCCGAGACGTCCCTTCCCCGGAGTTGTCCCGCGGCTGATCACCCCCACCGTGTAGAATATCGAGGCCGCCGGATCCAAAAGAAGGCGTATGCGGCAACTCGCCACCGAACAACGCCCCATCCAAACCAGATAAATCAAAAGACGCGTCAGATAAGTTAAGCATGTTACCTTCTTCGTCGAAGTCGACCACAACCTCAGGTGCCTTCTTTTCCTCAGCCATTGATCGCAACACAAAGAAGACAGAGAACAACCGAGCAGGAGTGGGGTCGAAAGTGAAGGAGAAGCAACAACCGAAAAGAAATGTGAGAGCGAAGACAAAAGAGGAATAACGAGCAAATGGCAAGGGGTCAATCTTATATACTGATAGAAAAGAAAGTAAACCGTCAGATGACGCATCGGTAAACACGAGATACGTCGAATCGCAATCCCGGAAATGATCACAAACCGCCTCGGCCGAAACAAAATCCGCCGCCAAAAAATTCGAAATTCAAAAACACCGCGCGTGTCCACCACTCACAACAGGACACGTGGCTAGTAGACCAACCGCAGGCTGTCAGACGACCCTTCGCATCCCTGGCACAGCAGAAGCTACTCCTAGGACCTATTCCCGCTTGGGGGGCATAGGCCCTTCACGCGCGAAACGCCGCACGTACCCACACCCACGGCACATCTAGCCGCTTCGGTCGTTACGCGCGGAAATGGCCCCAGGACTAGCTCCTGCTGGGGGGCAATTGTTGGGGGTTGGGGACAAGTAGTCGCGCGGTCAGAAACCCTACGCGCGGGCGCACCTACGCGGGAACCAGAACTACGCCTGACCGATATGTCCCATCACCGGTACGGCTCACCTACCTTAACGAGGGTATAAATAAGGCATTTATCATGGAGAGAGGGGGATCAGAAAAGGGGACTAGACCATTCTCTCTCTAACTTTCTCTCTCTACAACTTCTCTCTGTAATCTGTTCACCATTATATCTTAATAATACTAGTCCTAGCGCGTTGCTTACCACGTGTACTCAGACTCTTCTATATCTATTGTCTCCCTCCTACCCCACCAGCGAGACATAAACATTTACTAATGGACCTTATACTATTTAGAATTTACTAACACTTCTTCGCTAATGAAAACCAACTTATATGTGCTTAAAGTTTTCTCAAATTCGAATATCATGTGGTTAGTAACTAGGTCGCCAAGATTCGAAAACATGATCTTTCAGTCAACCATTCTCAATTAGAAGTGTCATAAATTTTATTCTCAATTAACTATTATACTAATTTACTCATTTTTGTCCTTAGGAGCCACCCATTACACTCTCCCTAACCCCGATTGAAATAAATTTAATTTTACACATTAGCTGTGATTTGGCTGAAATTCTTTGTAGATATTGAATAAGTACATCTTTAATTTTGAAAGGATCAGATGCACCTTTGTCATTTGTACATAGCTCATTATAAAAACATTGAATAAGCCAATACACAACTTATTAATCATACATCAATTATTTGAAAGGTCAATCATTCTCATTTAAATACATGCTATTTTTTATACCGAATTAACTATTAAACCTAATTTACCATTTTCTCGAACTAGAGTGGGTCCCGTACCCACCCTCTAACCCTCTCCCTCCACCCCTGTGAATAACCCGAATTCTTCTGTTCAGATTCTAACAAGAAGCAACCAGCAGCCATAAGTATGTGTTTTTGGAGGCGAACAAAGGATTCTCTGGTAGCTGGCTCGGTAGAGGGGGTACAATATGATGCATATACGTTTATGTGATGGTACAACTTTAAGTTGTAAAGTTGTATCATAACTAGGGTTGGCTATTTGGTCCAGACTGTTTGGTTTTATCCGAAACCGGACCTTATAACCCGGACCGGGACCGGACTAGGATCGGATAGCAAACAATCCAATCTCATATTCGGGCTTAGTGTTGGGACCGGATAAGAGACCCCAACACTCAAATCCCCACAAGCTCAATCTAAAATCAAGATCAAATTGGGACCGGACCGGATCAAGACCGGACTGTATCCAATCCAATCTTTGGTCCTTATATTCCCTAAAAGACCGGACTGGGACCGGATTAATTTTGTTCAATTTAACCGGACCGGACCGTATAGCCACCCCGAATCATAACATAAGGGTACAAATTCCTTTACAATACAACCTGAATTTATACATTTAATATCATGATACAACTTTAAGTTTTACATTAAAGCACGAATCATGATATTTTTATATTCCATAACAAATAACTCGATTAGAATAAAAGAACGAACGAAGATAACGAACATAATTTCCGAGTACTCGACGGAGAAAGCAACCGAAAATTATTGCGCGGTGTGAGCAGATAGTCGGCGCTACATTGAATCCTATTTTGTAGCTTTCCTCACTTTGTGCTTGTAATTAGTCTTCTTTTTTAAACATGCAATAATCATATCTACTCCCTAGTTTGGATTTTTGGAGGATCGCTTCTCTGCTCTGCAATATCACCCATGCACAGCCAAAACCACGATCGGAAAAACGCGTCTCATAGTTTGAAACTGCGTCACTAGTTTCCCATTTCCCATTTCCCGTACTACTACATCAACCTTTGGCAACCATTTTATAATACAACTAGCGGTGATGAATACAGAGAGTGTTGTTAAGAATACAATCGAACAACTGAAACTCACAACGAACTGATCCAATGTGTTACATTACATATATGCATACAGAATGGTCAACTTTTGGAACCTATAAATACTAGGTTAAGCACTTCCGTTTATGACACACCAACCAGAGAGCCATCAATTCATTAACCTGCAGCTTCACCAATTACTTCTTTTTTGTTTCCTCCAATGGCGTCTGTTGCTAAGTTCTTCTGCCTGGCCCTACTTTTGGCCGTGTCGCTGCTTGCATCTTCCGGCAACGCACAACTTTCGGCAAACTTTTACGCCACTTCGTGCCCGAACCTCCTCACAATCGTCCGCAACCAAATGACTCAAGCTGTTAACAATGAACTCCGGGTGGCCGCTGTCATGCTTCGCCTTTTCTTCCATGATTGCTTCGTCAACGTAAGTAGATCTCTGACTAGTTAGCTAGCTAGCTAGGCCACCTTCAATTCTATTTCTCTAACGTTGAATTGAGCGCATGCATGCATGCAGGGATGCGACGCGTCGGTACTTCTGGACGACACGGCCACCTTCACCGGCGAGAAGAATGCGGCGCCGAACCAGAACTCCCTCCGAGGTTTCGTCGTCATGGACAACATCAAGACCAGGGTCGAGGCCGCTTGTAACGCCACCGTTTCTTGCGCTGACATCCTTGCTCTCGCCGCCAGAGATGGAGTCGTCTTGGTAATATATATCTGTCTATCACCTTCTCTTTCACCATATACGTACCAATATATATAATATGGTTAGTGAGTGATATAAGATTAATTATTGAACATCTTTTATTAAATTATATCTATTGTGTTTTGTTCATGTTAACTGATTCTTAACATTGTATTAGAGTTTTTTTGTGGTCATGAGATTTTGAATCTCAATAACCCTATTGTGAGCATATTGTATTATTGTATTCAAGACATGTGCAACCGAAAGATCTTACGAGTTAATTGACTTGCCTAATTTGTGAAGCACATGGTGGTATTATCGTATCTACTATCTAGGATCATTTGTACAACCAAAACCCCTTATAAATTGATTGGCTTTCAAGTGAGAGACTATATTAGTAATTAGAATAAATTTTATAATTGAATTTCTCTCAACAACTCAAATATTGGAATTAGTTCTTCATTGTTATATACCAACACAACAAACATAATAGAATTCTTCCCTCGTTGACTCCAAGTCATTTTATAATTTCTTACTTTTGACGTGAAAATTCCCCCTTTTGATATGGGCAACGAAACAGCGAGGCGGGCAATCATGGACGGTCCCACTTGGCCGCCGCGACGCTCGGACCGCCAGCCAGGCCGCCGCCAACAACCAGCTCCCGGCACCCGGATCCAGCCTGGCAACGCTGGTGAACGTGTTCTCCAACAAGGGCTTCACCGCACGGGAACTGACCGTCCTCTCCGGGGCCCACACCATCGGGCAGGCACGGTGCACCAACTTCCGCAGCCGCATCTACAACGAAACCAACATCGCCGCCGCCTTCGCCACCACCCGGAGGGCCAACTGCCCTTCCACCGGCGGCGACGCCAACCTCGCCCCGCTCGACAGCACCCCCAACCGCTTCGACAACACTTACTACACCGACCTGGTGGCCAGGCGCGGGCTGCTCCACTCCGACCAGGAGCTGTTCAACGGAGGGTCCCAGGACGCCGCCGTCAGGGCTTATAGCAACGACTCTGCTTCTTTCCTCAGGGATTTCGCCGCCGCTATGGTCAAGATGGGGAACCTCAGCCCTCTCACCGGGACCAGTGGAGAAGTCAGGAGGAACTGCAGGAGGATTAACTAACTAATAATTACATGCTAATTTAAAGCTGATCATCATGGCGATATGTGGTCCAAAAAAAAAAAAAAGATGATCATCAGGAAGTATGTCACTATTTCATCTCGGCAATTTGTGTTGTTGTGTTTCGTTTGTGACCGAGTGTGTTTTTGTTTTTCCTGATATTTTTCAATTTGTGCGAAGTTTATTAAAGTTGGATTTTTTCGGGGGCCATTTTGAACAGATTTCCAAAGCAGTATAATCATAAATTTCGTGCGATTTTTCGGAAGGCCATTTTCTTTGCATTTTGAAGGCTAATTAAAGATTATGGATTCGGTCTGGGGCTATTCTCCACCGATGATAATGTCTATTGGTCGCCGATTTGGGCGGAAAATTTTCTGAGGGCATTTTTCCTATTTTTTGCCAATTTTTTCGAATATCCATTTTTACAATCACATATTTCAAAAGACTTTATCGAAAGATCATTTTTCTTGGATTTTGAAGACAACATATCACAGATGTGGGTGCATTTATTCAACGGGTATTTTCATAATTTTTTAGCATTTTTTTTTGTTGAAAGACCATTTTTCTAGAATTTTGAAGTCAACAGATCACGTATTCGCCCTTGAGGTTATTCTTCATCGATGATTATGTATATTAAGCTCTGGTTTGTACGGATTTATTCGGTTTCATTTTGGCAGATTGCGAATGGGTACCGCCAAAATGTAGAACAAACAATAGATTTTATGCTAAATTCATGATGATAATGGATTTGACTCAAACCCATACCTCAAATCCATCAAGCAAACGAACCATAAAATTTGGAGTGAATTCTAAAATATATTGGTGTATCAATAAATACAGTGATATTATGTCTTCCGATCTTTTATGTAACACCCTCTACAAGTTGGATTGTTATCTAAAAAGGCCATTTAATTTTGGCATGGCATGTATAAGTCCGAAATTTCCTTCCACACATTAAGAAAACCGACCAGTGTTCAGAACTAAGAAGTAACCGATTTAATTGGCATACCCTTCCACCCAACGATCAAGCTCTTCCCATCCATCCCAACCGTACAAGGACTCCAACTCGGCAATCGTTTTGCCACTAGCTCTGCCTTAACGACGAGCTCAACTTAGCCTCCACCATTCCAAACCGTCAAAAATAAGTCCTCCAGACGTCCACTTTCATGTTTCGAAAGACATTTTTATTTGATTTTAAAGGCTACAAAACACGGATTCAGCCTGCAGCTTTTCTCAACCGATGCTAAAGCCTAATAGTTACCGATTTGCCCGAAAAAATTTCGAAGGTCATTTTTGTACTTGTTGGCAATTTTGTCCAAAAGCCATTTTAGTTGGAAATTTTCTTTTTTTTATAATGATGAGAAATGCATTGAAAGAAAAAGTAACAGAGTACGGTTAAACAAGAGCACAGACAAAAACGAAAGGGAAAGGGAAGAAGAATAGGTTGCACACTTGCACCACCAGTGCACACATCCAAGAACAAAATAGGAAGAGAAAAGAAACAACAAAACATAGAAGGGCAAACAGGAAAGCGCCGCCACACGCGGCCTTCAAACACCCAAGCACTCAAATATTGGAGGAAAAATCTTAACCAGGTTACGCCCTGCTCCTTATCAAAGTTTCAGTCACTCCATCACAGTTCTTCCAAAATTTTGAGGATTTTTCAAAATGCAATTTTCTTTGAATTTTGAAGGCTACATAACACAAATTCGGACTGGGACTATTCTCTACCGATAATGAAGTCTAATAGTCGCCGATTTAGTCGAAAGCATGTTTATAAATTTTTTGCGATTGTTTCGAAAAGCCTTTTTAGTTGGAATTTGAAGTCTACAGATCACGGATTCGGCCTGAGACTATTCTTCACTGTTGATTAAGTCTATTAAGCACCGATTTTGATGGATTTTTTCCGGGGCCATTGTTGGCAGATTCCAAAGGGGTACTATCACATATTTCGGCCGATTTTTTGAAATAATATTTTCTTTGGATTTTAAAGGCTACGTACAGATCATGGACTTAGTTTGGGGCTATTCTCCACCGATGATAAAGTCTATTAGCCTCCGATTTGGGCAGAAAATTTTAGGAGGGCATTTTCATATTTTCGGCAATTTTTTCAAAAACTTATTTTAGTTCAATTTTTGAAGGCTACAGATCACGAATTTGGGCTGAGGCTATTCTTCACTGTTGATTAAGTCTATTAAGCACCGATTTGGACGAACTTTTCGGGGGGCCATTGGTAGATTGTAAAAGGGTACCATCACAGATTTCATGCGATTTTTCAAAATACAATTTTCCTTGGAATTTGAAGGCTAAATATCATAGATTCGGTCTGGGGCTATTCTACACTCATGATAAAGTCTATTGGTCGCGATTTAGGAAGAAAATTTTTGAAGTGATTTTCGTAGTTTTTGTCGCTTTTTTCGTAAAAGCCATTTTACCTTGATTTTAAAGGCTACATGTCACGAAATCTGCCTGAGACTATTCTTCCCCATTGATTAAGTCTATTAAGCATCAATTGGGGTGTATTATTTCTGGGGACATTTTTGGCATATTTCAAAGGAGTATCATCACTTATAATTTCGGGCGATTTAGCTTAGCTACCATGACGCACGAGTTCAAACTTCAAACGGTTCGAATCAGAGAGTCGAGTCGATCTTGAGGTTCGGTCAGGGTGTTGATCACATAGTCGGCCAACACAACTAAGGAATAGCAAGACTCCACTTGTATTTGGTCCCGACTTAGCTGAGCTAGGTCAGGGACCACGACCATTTCGAAGTTGCATGGAAAGCCCAAGCTTTCGGCGAAGCTGACTAGTCTGCCCCCGGTTTGTTCGATTGCATGTTTCCCTAGGACCGTCACAACAGTTATTTTGAAGCAACGAACACGGCGTTGTTTTGATCAGGCTGCTAGGGCTTGCATTAGGGTGGTCCATAATTGCTTGTCCGTTTCTGACCGCGAGATCAACCACGTGAATCCTTCCTTCTAGCGCCCTCCATGTGCTCCACGATGGCTTTGCATCGCGGCTAACTGTGCGACCTGAGTGAAGGGCATTCTCATGTGGACTCAGTAGGCAGATTCGCACCTGTGCGTAAAGCCGGCCCCAGGAACCAAGAGATAGGAATAGGATCACGCGACGGGCTTTTACGTTATTAATTAGTTGTGCAGAGAAGACAAAATTAATATAGTTTATCATTGGCTTAAGTTATCGAAGAAAGTCAGCAATGTATAGAAAACTCATGTAGATAATAGCGTAAATCAATATGAATGGATAAATGCGTTCACGTAAAAAAATAATATGTGGTTATTTAAATTTATTTAGTACGATAATTGGAGGAGTTTACATGAAAAATTGGTTCATCAACTTGTGTAAAAAACATATTTTATGCATAAATAATAGCTAATTCCGTAATAAAATATTTATGCCACGCCTTTTTTTTTTCACGGACTCTAATTAGTTATCTATTTTGAGAAATTTTACAATGCTATATAATATTAGTGCTATAGGGTTTTGCCTTTGGTACAACTTAAAATTGTACATTTACGTTATGGTACAACTTCAGATTGTACCTATACTTTTTGTACAAATTCTTTTATGGTACAACTTGAATTTGTACTTTTATGTGATGGTACAACTTCAAGTTGTAAAGTTGTACCATAACATAATGATACAAATTGTTTTATGGTACAACCTAAACTTATACATTTAATGTTATGGTACAACTTTAAATTGTACATTAAAGCACCAATACTATATAGCATAGTAGAAGTACTCTTCTTTTTGGCATTTATGATGACAGGGTAATACTTCAAAGTTTGACCTCCATAATTCTAGTTTAATTTTTCCAAATCATGAATCTGCTGAGGAAGGATGAAATCCTTGAAGGCTAACGTTTCTTTTGACAATCTACATCTCAGTCGGAATATCAAATGCAAACAATAGGCTGCAGCATTAATAGGGAGTGGTAAAATGATAACCTCCATGATCCGAGATTTCGCGGTCATCCAAAAATGTCATACAGGTAACAGTCCTCCTTTAATCCTTGGAGAGGGCGAACTCTGAACCACATACTGCTGTCTCGCAAATCTGAGTTCGATTCTGAGTCATACGAATCTGCAGTAACGTTAGCCTGTAGGTTGCTTAGAGCATAGAGACACAGTTGATTTCGCGGATCTTTGGATGTCAACGTCTCTCAATTGATTCAACCCAGAAAGACCAACAAGCAATCTGTACAGAGATGCAGATCGACTGAACGTTACATGTTCCAAATATTGCGAATCAGCGAGGACCTCGATCATACATAACTTTGGAGCATCAGACACAAACAAGTTGGATTACTAGCTGTGATAGAGAAGGTAGTCTCTGAATTGGGGACAGGATTTGAGTCCTATTTAGTTGTCAAGCTGCTGTTCATGGGATGATAGTGCCGTGACAATTCGATATCCTTAAAGTCTGCAACTTTCTGGACGCGAGTTAAACCCTCAGCACAAATAACCTCGAACACTTGCAATGATTTCAGCCCCAATTTGCCCCCATCAATTATCTCGAGAGCTTCCAAAGATCTCGGCCCACTATGGCGTTGGATTTCTCGAATCGTTGGGCAGTAAAACATGGGTAATTCAATTAAGTTCTCAAGCTTTTTCTAGACTTAGCAGCGACTCCAGTTGAACATACTCTGAAATGTGAAAGCTGAACTAGGACTGCCACTAGGATTTGTGGTAATGAAGTTTGTTTTACTGTCACATATTTCAACTTGGATAAATTCCTGCCATCCATGTGGTCAGTTGTAGGGATCTGAAGCCCATAGCCACTGCATTCAACTGTTAATTCTTCCAACCCCAAAAGTTCTGAAAATGTTTGCAATTGAAGATGAAGTGCTTAGCACCTTCAAACTAGCGGAAAGCTTAATCCACTCGCACACATCTTCCTCCCATGTTTGCGCAGTTCCTATCATTCTCAAGTCTTTTTTTATGAAATAAGACTCGTGCCCAACCACAACCACAGAACAAGACCCCTGCAAGTACACAGTAGACCACGGTAGACAGATGAAATAAGACACCAGTCCAACCACAGAACAAGGGCCGGCCAAAAATAAAACTTTATGCATTATAGGAATGGTTCATTGGAGAGAAGACAACCAATCTTCACCCTGTTGCATGTTTAATCACCCCCCAGCAGCAGATAGCCAGTGAAAAAGCTGGAATCCAATTCTTTGGGTAACAATCTGCCAAGAACTATACTGATCCATAAAAGTACGCTTATTACATTCTTTCCACAATTCCCAGCAATAGGCAATGTAGAATACATCGATTAAACCATTCATGCCACACAGTCGATGTTGACGATGACCACCCTTCAACCATCTCAACCAGGATCTAATCTATGTACTACTGAATGATCCCCTGCATCATGAGTAATAGAGAATTCCTTGCTATTTTGGCATAATCACAGTGGACTAGAAGAATGAAGATGAACAGCAAAATTCCCGGCTTTCATACAGAGGATGCATCTATTAGCAAGCAACCACCCACGACGTTGCAAGAATGCGCCGTAGTAAGCTTGCCATAGAAAAGCACACACCTTGAGCGGGATCTGCGAACACCAAATGGCCTTGTTGGGGAAACCCAAATTACCTGGAAACTTCGTAGAGCTTAGCCATTTGTACATAGAGTTAACAATATTACCCCTGCTTAGGATCGCCAAATGAGTTAACAATTAACAGTATACCCCTGCTCAAGATTTTAAGAGATGTTAATTTCCCAATATCAGCAAGTACACCTGCTTAGGATCTCGCACGCAATATAACCTTTCTAGACCCTCAGATTTGAGTAAGTGAGGGAGCTTGGTAAGGAAATAACACTCAGAACAGAAAGATCCAGAAGTTTCAGCATGTTTGACATGTCCATGCATAGGTTGAAAGGGGAAAACCTTGACATGACTCCAGCCTCCCCAGTCGTTTGCTACTTGGCTTGACTTGACATCCAGAAGAAATCGCCAAATTCTTCGTAGTTAGGCGATTACTAAGATTTTTCTTGTGGTGCAAAAAGCCAGATAAGATATGGCAGAAGATTGCTGAACTCACCAGCCGGTCTAGTGACTAAGCAAGATTCCTTTGTATACAAATCACAAGAGAATAAGCTGGTAGAGTATCCAATGACCATAAGGTACCATCCTTTGTGCGAATCATATATGAAAGTTCATCCTTCACTGAGTTGAACCACAGATGCTTTTTCAAGTGTAACGCGCAAGCAATTTCCAAGTTTATGAATGCGACTTGACTCTCTATTTTCGGCTGTGTTTAGTAATTGCGTAGATGAGGACGCGCCCTGACGTCATAGATAATCGGGACTTGAAACCAGGGGAAGACAAAGTGGGTTCCTTCTGGGTAAGTATGTTCGACAATGATATCGGGCGAGTAAGAAACAGAAACAAGAAGCTCCCTTGTATCTCTATTCGTGCGAGATCTGGATAGAATTGGATACCACCCATACTTCCAATATTTCAAAGGAAATAATAAATGGACAAGAGTAGCACAGAAGAATCTATATCCTGAAATCTGCAAGAAGATCCCACAAAAGAGAGATACTTATCAGAGGCAAGGTTATCCCGACTTTCAAAAACATGCTCCAATTAGATCAAGAGTTCAAGAACAAGATGGTGCTGCATATGAAATTTGAAGGTTGGAAAACATATTTGTTCTATGAAGATATTTCCTTCCTAATAAAAAAACACTCGACATCATGATCACTGACAGTTAGCATGTGTCACTAAGACATCTTATATAATAGAGTTGCACAGAGAACTAAAAAAGAACTTCTATGTCCATCTGAATTTTCACTTAGGCTTAGTTAACATACATATTTCAAGAAAGCCGAGCCCAATATCAAGGGTTGGAAGTAAGACCAGGAATGACTTGAAAGCAGATGCTTCATTTCAATTATATCTGAAAAAAGCACACAAGGTGGAAAATGGAAATGCAACTAATAGGAAGAGCATGCAAGACAAAGCAATATCCATTCTAGGACACAAATCATCACTTACAAACCAACATATAATGGTAACGACTGACGAGGGACAATAATTGAATATAGGATAGACACTGTGTGAACTTTCATTCTGTGGAAAAGCAAGTTCAACAGAAAGAGCAAGGACCGAGCAAGACTCTGCGTAGTATACTTCTAACATACATTACGTTTGAAACCAGAAGAAAGACAATCTAGCAAATGCATTCAGTCTACAGCCCTTCTCAAGTACCTCTTTAGCCACATGATACCAATGAAATGAGTTCTAATCCGACGATGAAGCAAGACACTTACATCAATCAGTTGAGCCATGAGAAGATAAATTTCCTCCAAAAAACTGATTTCTGAAAGTAAAGACTATGAACTTCCATAATAAACGAACATTACTATAACTGGATCTTCAGGACAGGAAGAACCAAATATAAGCGAACTTACATTCTTCCTGGTTTTGAAATTGGCAAACCATCAACCAGTGAACACTAATCCCTCCTATGACACTTCTTAAGAATTTAATTCTTTGAGTTTTAATCTCTGCTACAAGTACATTTAACCCAATCAAAATGTATGATTTGCCACTACTAAAGAACAAAGAATTCCCGCTGAAGCCTCATGGTAATGCAATAAATGATCCAATCAAGGACCTTTTATTTCCATTTAAACATTCTCATCTGTCGCATGTATTTGGAAGGCAGAAGGGTACTAGCAAGATTTTTATGTGAGATGAATGAGTAAGCAAAGGTTCCCTGAGCCTTTCTATCAATAATTTACTGCAACAAAAAATGATGTCAACATTGTAGATTCAGAGCTGGAACTCATAAAAATCTAATAGGTTATAGGAATGAAAAGTGCCATACCAAGGCAAAAAAAAATGATGTCAATCGTCCAGCTCATTCTCTACCAAAACAACTGGCAAGAGGCCCAGCTCAAGACAACAGCTATAATTTTATCAGGGATAAATCACTGAGCGTATGAGGACCTCAAGTTAGAAAAAAGTAGTTCAAGGTTGAACTACAGTTGTGTGCCCCTAACCAATTCAATCAGAATGTCTACACAATGTAAAGCTTTAGAAACATTTTCAACCACCATTGAGTTCCCGAGACTCATGAGGTTACAACTACCATTGCTCTATAGAGATCCATTACATCAATCAAAAGTGACTCACAGAAAACTCATTCATTTTCATCCACCAACAATAAAAAAGAATCACTACAATTGATAATGAGGGAAGCTCAGTAACTAAGCAAGATTCATCCTTCAACCAGAATTTTACTCAAGTCAAGCGAACCAAGGCTAAGCTGTACTCCCCTCGGACATTCCTATTCTTACTGAAGGAATTACCGCAGCTGGAATTATTAGAAAGCAAAGGAGCAACTAGAGAAATTAATAATGACTCGTTTCTGAATTGCATCAAAGACCGGATCAATAATGAGAGAAATGCTTCACTTGACTACAGCACCGAAACACTGGTTACCAAGGGCTCTGTTATGAGCATAAATACGACGCTAGACATAGATATTAGGAGTCCAGATTCAGGAAGTGCCTCCCCGTGAAGCTATAATTAATCAACATTGTAGATTCATGGCTGGAACTCATAAAAAATTAATATGTTGGAGGAAGAAAAAGTGCCATAGGAAGGCACCAAAACATTATGCCAAACTTCAAGCTCATTCTCCACCAAAACAGCTGACCAGGGTCAAGTCCGCATTTATCCTTTTAGCATGGAAAAATCACTAATTATTCTCCCAAGATGCACATCTGGTTCATCCATTGTTAAATGTAGGCTATAATTCCCTGAAATGATCAGAAAAACAGTCACTCCCTTACAACACCCGTCCAGTGGAAAACTCGAGTTTCTAAAAGAAGGTAGAAGTATGAACCCTGATGTATATAATATAATGAACAGAGAACCAACTGAACTTGGAAATCTATATTAATTTATTGCTCTATAATCAACTAATGTCCCGAAAGCCAGCTCAAGTAAGGAAAAGGAGTTCAAGGTTGATCTATAGTTGTGTGCCCCTAACCAATTCAATCAAATGTCTACACAATTTGAAGCTGCAGAAACCTTTTCAACCATCATTGAGTACCAAGGAAACCATAGTGTTAAGGTTTTCATCATTTCAGTCTTGTTAACAATAATAAGATGAATATAAAACGAAAGGAACACACAAACCCTAACATAAAAATCCCCTCAAGCATGACAGACATGTGACTAACCGAGCAAAGATCATGCATCATCCATAAAAATCTCCATGTGGAAAGTAAACAGAGATGTTCTATGAATATCTTTCATTTCTAATAATAAAAAGTAAGTTGCTTGCATCATTCTCACTGACACTGAGCATGCGCCACTAAGGCATCTTAGAGAGAAAGAAAATAGAATTCTTATGTCCATTTGAATTTTCACTTAGGCTTGTAATGTACTTACATGTCAACCAAGTCGGGCCCAACCATTTAAGTAGGATCACTTCTAGGACCCCTCTCAAGTTTTTCCAGGTAAGACTCCAGCAAGCAATTACCAAGTGTTGGAAGGAACACCAGACGGCTTGAAAGAAAATGCTTCATTTCAATTATATGTGCAAAAAAACAATGTAAGGTGCACACTAAGGAAACGAAACCAACAGGAAAAGCATGCATGCCAAAGCAAGATCCCTCCCAGGATACAAATCTTTACTTACAAACTAGAAGGATGGTAACGACGGACAACAATCAAATGTTTAGGATAGAAACTGTGTGAACTCACAATCTGTTTGGAACATGCAAGTTTAACTGAAAGAGCAAGGACAGAGCAGGACTCAAATACATCTAACCACTAAGGAAACGAAACCAACAGGAAAAGCATGCATGCCAAAGCAAGATCCCTCCCAGGATACAAATCTTTACTTACAAACTAGAAGGATGGTAACGACGGACAACAATCAAATGTTTAGGATAGAAACTGTGTGAACTCACAATCTGTTTGGAACATGCAAGTTTAACTGAAAGAGCAAGGACAGAGCAGGACTCAAATACATCTAACATGCATTATGTTTGAAACCATAAGGAAATCTAGCTCAATGCCCTCAGTCAACAACGCTTCCCAACTACCTCTATGGCCACAAGATATCAACACAAAGCGTTTTAATCCGTAGTTCAGAAGATAAATTCCCCCCATAAAACTTATTCTTGAAAGTAACACTTGCAACTTCCATAATAAATGAACAAAAATGCATGTTCAGGACATGTATTATTTGCTACTATAAAGGACAATTAATTAATGTTGAAGCCTTATGGTACTACCAGCAAAGATCCAATACTATACCTTTTATTTCTAATTAAGCATCCCATCGTGTCCTATGAATTTGAAAGGAATTAGAAAGAATTTTTTGGGAAAACATAGAACTTTCAAGTGACCATATATATACACTAACTTGCCCATTCCATTAGTGCAGATCAAGGGTTTTGAAGGCACCAAATGAAAAAGCAAGGACTGAGCAAGACTCATATACTTCTGACATGCATTATGTTTGAAACCTGAAGAAAGGAAATCTAGCTCAATGCCCTCGGTCTACACCCCTTCCCAACTACCTCTTTGGACACGAGATATCAATGAAAAGCGTTCTACTCCTTAGATAAGGTAAATTTCCCCCAAAAAATCGATTCCTTAAAGTAGCACTAGGAACTTCCATAATAAATTAACAGAATTGCAATTGCATGCTCAGGACAAGACCAAATTTAAGCAAACTTACATTCTTCCTTGGTTTGAAATCAGAAAATTGTCAACAAGTTAACATTCAACCCTGCTATGAGCCTATGACCCTTCTTAGTGCTTCGAGTTTAATTCCTGCTAAGAGTACATTTACCCAATCAACATGTATAATTTATCACTACTAGGGATGGCAATGGGGCGGGTTTGGGGCGGGTTTGCCTAAACCATCCCCATCCCCATCTTCAAATACCCAAACCCATACCCGCCCCATACCCATGCGGGAGAATGTTTTGCAAACCCATCCCCATACCCGTGGGTTTCGGGTACCCATGGGTAATACCCATCCCCGTACATCCAACATTATTATACCTAAAACTTACAAGAAAAGTTTTAATTATAACCATAAACAAACCTATTATATCACGAAGTCAACAAAACACGGTCATTTTCTAAATACGATTCAAAGAATATGATCTTAAAACATCCATTAATACATAATATAGACTATAATATTTTTTAAATTATTATGCTCTAACTCTTGATACATTTACTAAGTAATAATTAACTAACATAATTTTGTTGACAAGGGGGAAAGTGAAAGAGTGGAAGGAGAATTGAGGGAAATGAATTAGGTTTTGATTAAGGTGGTTACTCAATTGCATTTCTACTATTTATTTTCTCGAGTTATCATCATCATCATTGATAGATTACAATTTAATCCACGTATTTTTTGATATGTGAAGAAATTCTCTTGGTGGGGCGGGTATGGGTATGGGTATGGGGCGGGGGAGGCTAAAACCATACCCGCCCCATACCCATCAAACCTTTTGCGGGTTTTACCCATACCCGCCCCATACCCGGTCAAAGCGGGGATTCCCCGCGTTGACTGGGTATGGGGCGGTCGGGTACCCGCGGCCATGGGTTTGATTGCCATCCCTAATCACTACTAAGGACAATGAATTCTTGATGAAGCCTCCTGGTAATACCAGCAAAGATCCAATCCTATACCGTTCTATTTAAGCATCCTCATCGTGTCCTATGAATTTAAAAGGCACTAGCAAGACTTTTCTATAAGACAAATGAGTAGGCAGGGGTTTCCTACTAAGCCTCTTCATCAATAATATACTGCAACAAACTGAATCTCGAAGAAAGGAACCTGTATAAATTTAACCAACTCATTTCCAGGCCAATGTATAAAGAAGGCAAAAGGACAATCAGACAAGCTTTTAATTTGAGACCTCATATAATTTTGTTCATTTGTCACATAACCTTTAAGCAGACAATAATATGGTCTCCGGTTCCAAGACTTTAAAATAATAACTTCAACTGAATTGTAGTTTTTATTTCATAATTGCAAAGGCTCTAAATGTTTGAAAACGAACCAATTACCCTTGCATTTTACTAGGGTAGTCACAAATGTGGATTGATGAGGTCAAACTACCATCAATCTAAAGTCTAAAGAGAGTAAGAGACATGCACTACAACAACCAAAAGTGACTCATAGCAACAGTATTTCTTTTGATCTTTCAACAATAGATAAGACTCCCTGCAATTAAGTACGAGAACTAATCAAGATTCATGCTTCAACCAGAATTTCCACACAGGTGAAAAGGCAACTAAGGCTAAGTTAGAGTTCCCAGACCTCATTCTGGCTGAGGGAATTACCACAACGGGAAATATTAGAAAGCAAAAGAGCAGCCTGGAGCAAGCAATAATGACTTAGTTAGGAATTGGAACAAAAACTGGATCGGGAATGAGAGAAACGCTTACGCACCAGAACACCCGTAACCAAGGGATCTGTTATGAGCATAAGTATAACACTGCACATAGATATTTGGTTTCCAAATCCGGGAAGTTCCTCTCAATGGAACTATAAATAATCGGCATTGTAGATTCATCAGGGCTGGAAACCTTAAAACCCTAATAGGTAGAAGGAGGAACAAAAAGTGCCAATGCTTTAAGTAAATAAGATAATCAACAAAAAACCGACTAAAGTTGGAACCTATGATAATTTTGAACGCTCAAATCAATCGACATCCCGATAAACAGCTCAAGTCAAAAGAAGCAGTTCAAGGTTGAACTATAGTTGTGTTTCCCTAACCAATTCAATCACAATGTCCACACAATATGAAGATGCAGAAATGCACGATAACATCTCATCATATCTCTTGTTAACAATAATCATATGAATATAATACAACAAGAATGCACAAATCCTTTAAAAAATTCCCATCAAGCATGACAGTCATGTGATTACAAAATCAGATAACCTAGTTTTCATATCATCTGCTTCATTTATGAGGCAACAACAAGGATAAAATATTTCCACGATCAACGAATGTTACAAAATACACATTATGATAGCAATAATAACCCAAATTCTAGGACTCCAATTTCAGACTTCTACCACTATCTTGATAGAACTTGAGATGGATCAGAGGGGCAAATGACAACGCTCATTTCAAAGTAATGCACAAAGGGATATTCCAGTTTGATGAACCAGAACATGAAATAATGGACAGTCTTTCCGTAGTATTTTTAACCATAAAGGACAGCATTCTCTAGTATACCCATTGTAAAAATTTCAACTCCGGGACTCAGATTTAGCACTTACAGTTCTGTAATGATTGAACTTGAAGAGCAGAGGGGCAACTGATCATGATCATCTCAAAGTAAAACACAAAGAGACACAACATTTTGACGAATTGGCACCTGGCATAATGGACATTATTTTCTTAATATGTTTGTTAAAGCGTCAAAAGTTCTAGTATCATTTTCCTATTAGGAATTTAGCTTACAAGCTGTCGTTGAACTTGAGATGGTGCATAGGGGCAACATTATCTTCTCAGAGTAACACGCAAGGAGACATAGCATTCAGAGCAACAACTTCGTCTCTCAAATATAAACACAATAGCTAATATATGACTTTATCTTTAACAAGATAGAGCATAAGGGAACCCAAAATGGATAAACAATCACGTGGAGAGACAGATGTTCTTACTCAAACATGGCCACTAATCCATGTATTTTCTCGGTCAGCATTAATGATTCCAAAGTTTCCATCTCTGAATTTTCCATATAGGTCTCTAGTTATTGCATTCACAGAGTATGATGGAACGAAAAGGCAGCTGGAATGAATAGAGACAATCTTAATTGTAGGAAAAATGTGACATAACTTTAGACCAACTTCATTTCTCAAACATGGCCATCATTCCCTTTTACAAATGGAATCAGACCTAGGACTCCAGTTATGTGATTCGCAAAGTAGGACAGAGCAGAGGGGCAATTAGAGATTATAGGAACAACTGGATACACTTTCGGAGAATTTCCTTCATCTATCATGGCCACATTCCACGTATTTATTTACTTGGTTTCAACTTTCAATTAATCATTCCAAAGTGTCCCTCTAGGACTCAATAATAATTTACACATAGACGAGATATTAGCAACTATATAAGAGCAAGGAATTCTCCACTAAGCTACGAAACTATACTAGATAATGACTTCCCCACCAAGCAAAAATCACCAGCGTAGACCACCCAACTTTTTGACTAGTATGTATCTACTTCTTCATCAGGACATTCGAATGAGCAAAATATATGAAGGCATGATCGATTACCATGGATTACAGACCATAAAAGAAGACCTACCAAGATCTCATAAGGAAGTATAACCATAATGGCAAGCAAAACCACCAGAAAAAACTTATATTCTGCTTCGGAACTTGAATCATCATGGTCACACTGTCATGACTCATGAGTTTCTGGCATAATGATCATCTCAAAGGCACGATGGGCAACACCATTTGATAAAGCATACCCTGGCATAATGGACAGTATTTTCCTAGCATGTTTGCCAGGTCTGTATTCTTGTCAGATCATTAAAAAGTCCCCCTCTAGTACTCCGAGTTAGGACTTCGGTTAAAAACAGATTGTCATGATTGAATTTGTGATGAAGCAGAGGGGCAACTGATTATGATAATGATCAAGAAAAGATGAATGGACAACATTTGATAAACTAAACCCAGACATAATGGATATTATTTTGATACAATGTTACTTAAATCATTTAAAAACTCCCTTTTAGGATTCTTACTACGACTATCAGTTAGCAAACTTCATGATCATCTCAAAGAAACACACAAAGGGACACAACATTTAACAGCATGCCTACCCACTAGTCCATGTATGACTCGGTTGGAATCCAACACTCAAAGTTCCCTTCTAGGACTACATTTATTACTGTCCTAACAAGATATAGAAGAAGGGCAACTAGAGTGATTAAATAATTGACTTACGATGAACCAGCATTCTTACTCTTCCCCAGTAAGTACTACTCATTTCAAAGTTCTCATCTAGGAGTATTGTAAAGGCATTTACTGAGTAAGGATGGAGTAGAAGGCAACTAGAATGAATGGAGACAATTTTAATTGTAGGAACAACGATACATATCTTCCTGAGCAACATTCTGACTCATTCTCAGTAAAAAAAATTTATAGAAAATTCTCAGTAAGTATTTTAATCCATTCAGAGTTACCATCTAGGACTCTGGTAGGGACAATCACTAAGTAAGGATAGTGCATAAGGCAACTGGACAGATTAGAGACAATTTTGATTGTATAAACCAACGGACACAAGTTTTGGACCAAGTTCTTTTCTCAAACATGGCCACTAATCCATGTATTTACTTGGTTTTCTCTGTTACTCCAGAGTTCCCCTCTAGGACTCCACACTTAATAGGATAGAGCAGAGGGGCAACTGGAATGATTAGAGACAATTTTGATTGTAGAAACAGCGGGACGCAACTTCCGGACCAACTTCTATTCTCAAATATGGCCATCAATCCATGTATTTACTTGATTTTCTCTATTAACCATTCCAGAGTTCCCCTCTAGGACTCCACACTTAATAGGATAGAGCAGAGGGGCAACTGCAGTGACTAAACGATCGCATCAACTAAATCAATATGGCAACAGATATCCATTTTTGGATCACCAATTACAATGGGTACACGAGGTGACCAATGATTGAATGAAACATTGCAGACATAAAATGAAGCAATTTCATAGGTGCCGCCAGATTGCAATAGAAATAGTCCAATAACCATAATCAGAAATTATAGACCAACAACAATACCGGGTATTAGTCTACTTCAGCAAAAAGATACAAATTCACATGTTGTCTCAGCAAGTGTATAGATAGGCAAATCTAGGCACAACTCTACGAGTTTCCATCAGGATTGAAAATTTCTAGGCAACTGAGAAGGGACTTGAGGAATAATACCAGAGAAAAGATTTCTCCACCTAGCGACGAAAGGTCCATATAATAGACCATCCAACTCATGTAATAGATCTAGCCGAGAAGCACTTGGCTGCCTTCTAATCTTCTCGTAGTAAATGCATCTCCAATACTCACAAAGTTACACCCGCAGCGGAGCGCAAAGTCAAGGCCACACCCAAACCCCAACTGGCATGATCAAACGGAAACCCCTAACCATCGATTTTGCTACTATCGAAGAAACCAACCAACAGCGAGTATACGCGAATTGCACAACCAATTACGCACTTTCCTAGCAACTTCTGCATCAGAAGAACAAAGACGTAGCAGCAACCTCTGTAATTTGAAACCGTCAGAATTAGGGAACACGAAGCAACTAAATCAAAGATTCTGAGTCTGTTACCCACGCAATAAGAAGACTAATGCGACGATTCCCATACTGATAAACCCTTCGAAAATCTTGCAAAACCATCATGGGACATCTGCCGCAAACGCCAACACCAATCAAGCGGAGACCCAGTCTAAGAGAGACACCACTACTCTCTACTGGCCGCAAAAAACTATCCCAATGAAAGAAACCCGCCGTCGGCCGCCATTTGTGGATTTATCTCATTTGGGAAGCGCCTCTAAATAATAGGGATCTCTGCATAGACAAGAGAGGTTGTAAAAGCCACTTCGGCTAGGCGGCTACATATATATAGAGATGGTGAGTCGGTTATTCATGTGCCTACCCGTGTAGCGTAAGTAATACGTATACAAATTGGACGCGTTTCAACGAAATGACGTTGACCAAGTCGACCGGCGTGTGATACACGTAAATGGGTAATTGAGCAGTGAGCACTAGTTGGGCTTTTTGGATTATCAAAAAGTGGGCTTGCTTAAAAATACTTAACCCATTTCCACACACAGCTGGCAGCTCAACCCAATATTCTGTTTAGCTTCTCACTGACCCACTAGTTATGCCCCGACCAAGATAAGATAATTCACATTATATTTAAACTAGCTTTGAGCCCGCCCGATGGGCGGGTTATTATCGTGCGGATTATTTTGTATTTTGAGCTCGTTGGTGCAAGGGAAGAAGTCTATACTTGTTCAGTATGCGTTCAGAGCTGAAACATCCTTTTCTTCCTAACCATTGTTTGAGGATTGGTAGTTTTTTTTATTATAATGGTAGAAAGAAGGTAAAATTACAAAAATTAGATTAATCAAATGCGATGGTCAACCTAACATGTAACTACTGATGAAAGGGCTTGTTTTTACCACAAATGTGCAGCCCTAATAAAACGTCTAGGAGCAGGCGATCCCTGCAACAATGACTTCTGTAAATTCAAGTAATCCACCGCCTAGGCCATTAGGTACCTTACCCACCACAACTCTTCGAATCACAACATAAGTGAAGGATCGACACAGAAACATTAAGACACATGGGGCACCATGTCATCACATCACATAAAGCAGTAAGATCCATTAAAAAAAAAAATCACTCCTACCATCATAATTCTTGAGTGCCGTCATAGGTAGCCTAGAACCGCCCCTGCCAAAGTCTCCATGCCGAAAAGAAAATGGAGTTGCAAAAGGACTCGCCTGTAGAAACTCTATCGAGCTTTTGAATTCTTGCCCCAGGTTGATCTCATTGCACCTATAAGAAACAATATCATTAAAAAGATCATATAACAACTACAAAGAGGAACCACTTTTGTTTAAAACAGGGAGTGTTCGCATGCAAGGTGAGGCAAAGAGGCAAAGAGGAACCACTTTTGTTTCGCGTGTTGGGTCCTTTGTGGCGCTAACATTGTATCGGAGACCCTTAACTTCGATCACTGCTCAGATGCATTGGGGTTGGAAGAGTACGACAACATTAGTACAGAAAATGCTATGGAGTATTTGGAGTTACCCAAGGGCATTAAAAGAGCATGATCGAAGAATAAACATGCATGAGTTCATATAGCGGAAAAGATTGAATTTAATCTAGCAAGATCGGTGGCAGCAGATTGTGGCTGGTCGAGGAAGCAAAAGGCATGGCGGAATCTGCATTGGGACCCCGGAATTGAGACTAAACGTACGGCGGTTCCGACCGCTGTCTGATCGGAGAAGAAAACCGGCACTGGAAGAGCCCAAGATCGATGGCGTTCTTCGGATGGGGTCGACGGTGTCGGTTTTTACTGCTTACAGAACCCGAATCTCAGGCAAACTACTGCAGTAGGCAGGTTGTAAGGAGGGTTTTGTGCCGGGAAGAAGCAAAAACCTCTCTTGGAATCCATTCGGAACAGGGAGCATAACTTACCTTGTAGAACCCTTGTGAGATCGGGAAGTTAATACCTCTTCTGGAATTGATTCTGTCGATCGATTCATGGTTCAACGCTCCGACATCGGTAGCGATGAAACCGCTCTAGATTTGGCGAGAAGGAAACTGTAGTGGTGGACAGTTATAATTTGGGTGACTGAGGGAGGAGGAAAAAAAAGGATGTAGCGTCGAGGCCAGGACAGGAGGGTGAAAAAGGAGGAATTTTTCCGTGCAGAGAAAGAAGAGTCTTGTTATAAAGAGCTGACGTGGATGGCTATACGTTGAAAAGGGCTGACGTGGATAGCGTGCAATTCTGAAAGTGCTTTAATATATTTTAAGATTATCGTAAGTCTTTTAGATAAAAAGTGTAAAATTGTACCGGAGGTTATAAACGAAAATTTAATGGTATGGTATTTTAATGTTGAAACTTCGATTCAACAATTTCATACCGCTAAATATTGCGTTCGATATGAGGTTTTTTTTATAAAACCGCCGGTTTAGGTTAATGATGTTTTCACAATTTATTTCATAACATATATGTGGTCTCTTAATATAGGATTGTGAGAATGTAACTAAGTAACTTTAATTCCTCAACTAAGCAGTTGACATTTAATCAATGATTTTAGTATTTAATTAATATAATACATACTTCTACATTATACATTCAATTTTTAATTAATTATTATTAGCTTGCGATTAAGTCTATCATATGTACACGTTCATCTTTTTTCAAGGACGAGGAAAATGAAGTCTATTACTATTTGTGGAATATTAAGTATTGTAATTTGCTTATGCGAGTAGCCTTCTTCCTCTCGGACTAAAGGGTAAAGTCTTTTTCCTATAATACATGTCATAATTTGAAAATTCTACTAACATTTTCATACACACATATTTGTTCATTCTCTCTAATTTGTACTCATCTTCTAAGGACGTTTAGAAAGTTTGATTGTACGCAATTTATGCTCATATTTGTCAATTAAAATGATCAAATTTGTTACCTTATACTTGTACATGAATCAATGTTGGTTCTAAAAATATAAAATTTAAGTCATTATACCAAATGACGTGTCTATTTCTTATGAAGACTAAATTCATCACACCAAGTATTATTCATTAATGATGAAGTAAAGCAAAATTATGTTTTTGTTTGCAATTAGCACATTTGGACCAACCTTTAAAAAGATTCATTGAAAAAAAATTCAAGTAAAAATTAGTCTAAAAACAAAATAGGAGGAAATGAAGAAGAAAAAGGATTGGGATAAAAAAGACCGTGTTTGTGTAATCGTACCGCACCAACAGTCCGATCGTCCGGAAAAACCTTCTATCATAACCTAAATATGTAGATAGGAATCGAGGCATTACGCTTTTGCCCTATCAATTGCAGGTTTGAATCCTGTCCCCGCCTAATCCATCTGAGGCAGGCGTAATCCGCTTCAAGATTGGAGATTCCAGTAACTCAATGCAAACAAAGAATGGCGGCTTGGAAGAATAAGAGAAGAGTTGTTTTTAGGAGTGATCCTTCTCTGACACTAGAAATTGAATAAGATCATAAAGAAAGCTTTCTTCATATGCTCCAAATTGAATAAGGGTTTCGTATAACTTGGGACGGGGTGGGCAACGGGACGAGATACCCGTCCCGTTTTAAACGGGTACCCAGTCCCATTTGGAGGCCAAAGTCCTTCCCATATCCCAAACCCATATGGGAAACGGGTACCCATTACCCGTACGGGACGGATAACGGGTACCCATACTACCCATAAATACCCAAAGTTTAAACCACTCAAATTTTAACAAAAGTTTAAACTTAACTTAATAACTTGTACTTGCTTAACAATCACAAGACACAAATCATGAACAATCACAACGCATAGAAATAAATCATTCTAAGCACCAAATTATCAAATAAGAAGTTTCATTCAACACAACCAAAATATAAAATAAAAAGTTTCTGCTTCTGCAAGTTGCTGCTACTATTCCTTCTACAAGTTGTTGTGCTACTCGTCCTTCTACAAGCTACTGGAGTGCTGGAACAGTTGCGGTTCTTCCTTCTGTTGCGGTTCTCCCTTCTGCTGCAGGTTGCTGGAATCATTAATAACAGAGGAAGGGACAATGCCGACCAAATGCTGCGGTTCTCCCTTTTGCTATGATACCATCCACAGTGAACATATCACAATTTATTTATAAGGACTGAAATATTGACCACAACAATACAAAAACAACAAAGTCCAAAACAATTGAACCCTCCTTATCAATTACAACAAGCCCAAAAGAAGGTAAAACGTAAACAAAAAAAGCAAGCAAGCAAACGGAATTTAACCAAAGACAACCTCCAGTGTAAACAACATTACTCCATGGAGGTGAAAGTGAAAGCCGAAAGGGAATAGGCAGGGTAAGGGTCGACTAAGGGTAAGGGCCGAAATGGCCAAGACCCAATGCCACATTTCTGAATTAGTGAATCGGGTTGGGGCGCTGGGCTGTGGGCTATTTCTGGTAAATGGGTATAACGGGTACCCACATTACCCAAACGGGTATTTGCGGGTAACCCGCGGGTACCCATATTAGGAATGTTCAATCCCAAGTCTCATCCGTTTATAATATTACGGGTAATATGGGTACCCATAACCCTTAAAAAACGGGACGGGTACGGGTATACCCAAATACCCGTTTCCCGTTGCCCACCCCTAACTTGGGTTTTGAAAACCCATGGATATATGAGAGTTTTGGATTCATTATGGATTTGAAACACCATTGTTTATTTCATGGATTTCATTATGGATTTTGTTAATTAAATTTCTATATATGAAGTGAAATTTACCTTTATTGCGCTTAATGATATAAGAAGTGAAAGAAAATATGAGGGGTAGGTTGGTAAAAAATGATGAATTTCAAAGTCCATGATCCATTTCCACCTAAAGATGTGGGATTTTCAAGTCTGTGGGGCCCACATATTTGGACCCTCAAAGTCCATGGGTTCCAACAAATTTGTTACCTCTAAATACTTGAAGCAAACAATAGATTTTGGACAAAATCCATCATGGACCCAAATCTATCACCAAACCCTTCACCAAATCCATCAAGCAAACAATTTAGGTTACTCTATCATAAAATATTCAACCCTACCGTCCCCACTACTAATTGGATCCTTCAAGTTTATTGCAGAAACGTGACTCGTTTCAAGGAGGTTCCCTTTCGACGAGTTAGCCAAGCAAATTATACAAGAACTCTCACCTCACATTGCATATCAAATTGGTTAGCCAAAACAGATCATAATTAGGCAAAAGATATAGGATTGTTAGATGGTATAGCATATGGCAACGATGAGTGCTTACAGTTTTCTTCTCTCTGTCGTTGCTCTTCTGGCTCTGGCTTCCTCCCTGCCTCTGCAGTCTGCACATGACCCTAGCCCCATTCAGTTACTTCTGTGTGGCAATAAATAAACCCAGCAACGGAGGTATATATATAGCTTCTTCAAAGGTTCATGGAATCTACCTTTGTGTTCTAGTAAATAACTAATCACTACTAATGTTATGTGTCTTCCCTGACCCAGTGTTTATCAATGGGAAGTTCTGCAAGGACCCAAAGCTGGCAGCAGCAAACGATTTCTCAATCACGGGGCACAACATTCCTAGAACACAGTGAAAAGATTGGGTTCAAATGTCACTCTCCTGAATGCTAACTGTATTACGGGACTCAACACGTTCGGGATATCAATGGCCTACATTGATTAGGCACCAAATAGTGGCTGAAACCCGCCTCACATTCACCCTCCAGCTACTTAGATTCTGGTTGTCCTTGAAGGAACACTTGCTGTGGGCTTTGCCACGTCTAACCCTGCTAATCAACTCATAACCAAAGTCCTTTGCCCTGGAGACATCTTTGTGTTCCTGATCGGACTCATTCACTTCCAGTTCAACATTGGCCTCACTAGTGCAGTTTCTGTTGCAGGCTTGAGCAGCCAGAACCCAGGAGCTATCACCATAGCAAATGCCGTATTTGGATCTAACCCTCCTATCAATCCTCATGTTCTGGCAAAGGCCTTCCATCTGGATAAGAATTTAGTCTATTAACTCCAGAAACAGTTTGGAGGGAGCAGTTTGGAGGGAACATATTCATTGGACATGCCCTGAGAAAGAAAAATAAAAGAAGAAAAAAACTATCTTAATGCTAGAAATGCAATATAATAATGGTCAGAAGTGCAACAAATATGCCAAGATTGCTCCATCTCATATTTCTGGTAAATTGAGACTCTTATCAATTAATTAAATAAAGATAAAAAAAATGATTTTCTAGGTATTCAATGAGCAAATTTGTACCCTAAAATAACAGCAGTTTGGTAAGAACTGCCACTCTTGTAAGTGAACTAGAAAAAGGGAATAAAGACCGGTAGTTGAAACATGGGAAAGAGACGCGACCAGAACCTTTGTATATAGCTTTTGCAATGCTATATTTAAAAGCAGCTTTTTGTAATGCCTTCAAACAATTATCGATCTTTAAATATTAAATAATAAATAAGTACATGAAGTTTTCAATGAGAGGTGGGCATTTCCATGCAACTTGTACCTTCTTTGCATTGGCTTCCTTGCTTGCTTCTGGTGATGACTTCACCCCTCAGGTGGACTTCTGTGTGGCAATAAACAATCCCAATGGCAATGGAGCATGTAGATCCCGATCTCTCTAATATTTTTCAATTTCCAAGAGATCTTCTCGTCGACGGCAACAGCACCTGATGACTAATAACAGCTTCTATCTATTCTTTCCTGCAGATTTTTCCAATGGAGAACTCTGCAAGAATGCAGAAGCTGCGAAAGCAGAAGATTTCTATTTCTCAGGACTGGATGCTACCAGAGAGACTGACAACAGAGTCGGGTCAACCATAACTCTTTTATCCACTAATCAGATTCCAGGACTTGATGGTTTGTCCCTGGCGAGAACAGACTATGCACCAAATGGCGGCTTAAACCCGCCACACATACATCCTCATGCTACAGAGATCCTAACACTCCTGAGAGGCATCCTCCATGTTGGCTTTATCACATCAAGTCCTGAAAACCGCCTTATTACCAAGACACTACACCCAGGAGATGTGTTTGTCTTCCCTATTGGTCTCATACACTACCAGCTTAATACTGCCAACAACAGCGCACTGGCGATAAATAGCTTCAGCAGCAAAAACCCTGGAGTTATTACCATAGCAAATGCTATCTTTGGCTCTCATCCTCCGCATAACCGCGAAATACTTGCCAAGGCATTCCAGTTGAACACTGATACAATCAACTTCCTCCAACAGAGATTTAAGGGCAACCAATAGCTGCAAACAGCAAACATTTCTTCACAAACAACAACTCACATGTCTATGGCGAACTTTATAATAAATAAATGAATAAAAGTTGTTTGGAGATGATATCTGTTGATGGAAGCCCGATTCTTCACAATCATCAACTTACATTTCTGAGTCTGCCTGCCACGTGCAGCAATCACACCGTGGAAAGAGATACTTCCAACTGCTCTATCCTCTTAGCCAGATCATGCTTCCCACAGTTCTTTAACCCATCAGCAACCAAATCAAAACATCTGGAAATAGGAGTCAACCCCATCTCAGTCATCTCTATTAAATAATTGGCTGCCTCCAAAGACCTCCCACCACGCCCACACATGGTTATCAACATTGTATAGACTGGTCTATTCGGAGGGTGACCTTTTACCTTCATTTCACCAAAGAAACAAAATGCATCGTCAAATTTCCCTATCCTGCAAAGTCCCTTGATTATTGGTGCATACAGGCTAGGAAATGGCCTGTGTCCTTCTTCGATAGACCTATGCAACAGCTTAAAAGCATCATTCATCCTACCCACCTTTGAAACTGCGGGAATCAAAATCTTATAGCTATTTATATCAGGAACAAGACCTAATTCGCGCACACCATGATACATTTCCATGCAAAAATCAATCTCCCCTGATTGACAAATTGCTTCCACCAAAGAATTAAAAGTATTAACATCCGGAACAAAACCCTCTTTATTCATCTTCTTAACCATATCCTTGGCAGTCTCCAAATACCCTGCACTCAACAAACCTTCAATCAACAAATCCCTCCCTCTCACAGGAGGGTTAAACCCCTTCTTACTCATCTCATCCAAAAACTCCTGAGCCTCTTTAAATTTCCCACTAGAACACCACCCATTGACAAGAACAGCATAGGTCCGCTTATTAGGAACCAAACCCTTTCTAACCATCCTTCTTATCAGAGCATAAGCTGCGTGAAACATCTTGACTTCGCACAAGGCGAAAAGCAAAGAATTATAAACCTCTACACCCTGATCACAATTCAAGCTGCTGCACTTATTGAACACTTCAACTGCCTGGTCTGCGAGCCCACCTTTGCCATACTCCTCAATAATAAAGCAGACAGTCTCGGCGGAAACGCAGAAAGCTCTCTCGTGTTCAGGTGTATTTACCATCCGCCGGCTCTGATCTCGCATCTGAGTTATGAGACGCCACATAGAAGCATATCTTTTCCCACGGGCGAGGGTTTTGATGAGCTCCTCGACTTCGATGGAGGTCGGGGTGTAGTGTCCTCGGGCCCAGGTGAAGAAGCGGATGGATTCCGTCGGGGAATGGGAGAGGGCGCGGAGGACGCGGAAGACAAGCTCGGAGTTAACTGGGAGATTGAGCTTGTTTAGTGTGCGCTCCGGGTAGATGTCGCGGCGGACGATGTTGGTTATTTGGTGGATTGCGGCAAAGTAGGCGTCCTTGTTGGGTGCTCCGGCGGCGGGGATCGGCGCTAATGTGTTGAAGCGGCGGCGGGGTGGGCAGCTGATCGCGGCGGAGGTTGCTCCGCGTAGCAGCCGGACGGTAAAGCGGAGCATTTTCAATTTGATAGGAAATGCGATCCACTTCCCCACAAAGGCACAAACCAAGAGCCGAGTTCTATGTTCCTATTTCGGACTTACTACGTTACAACTTCCAACAAGGTTTGTAAAAAAAAAATACAATTTAATAGTTTTTTTTTTACAATAAATGTTCAACTTTTATTCCACTTCCAACACGAAAAAAAAGCGAGATTACACTAAGTCAAAGGAAATCCGAAATTAGGTCAAGAATACTAATCCAATCATCAGGGAGAGAGGATCTAGCCAGTGATCGTGCTACCCAATCAGCTCTAACATTAAAAGCTCGTGAAACTGCCTTGACCTTCACTTGAGGGTTCGTTCTTAGGATTGAGACCATTGATCCAATCCATGCTGCACCACGCCAAGGCCAATTTCTTGGCTCATCCGAGAGAGCTTTGACAATCAGCTGGCAGTCCGACTGGACAACACATTCAGATCCATATTCTTGGGCTAATTTGAGACCTTCCAAGAGTGCTTTTGCTTCGGCTTCGAGTGGGGTGGAACAAAGGAGAATGTCAGCTCGCCCATCACACACTTGTCCATGGTGGTTAGTGACCACAACACCATATGCCGCCGGCTGGGAGTCGTTTAAAAACGACCCATCACAGTGAATCACAAAATTGTGATTGCTTGGCGGTGGAGAATTGAGTGATTGGGCTCCCCTGAGCTGAGTAGAAGGAGAGTCATTGGGGGGACTCCTCGGGCAATTAGTCCATTCCGTGAATTCCTTGTAAGTTCGCAAAATAACGTTCGGATGCCAAGGGATTCGATTCTTGAACACACAATCATTCCTTGCCTTCCAGATATTCCAGCAGAGGAAAATAACATGAGTGAGGGCTCCTGGTTGGATAGAGTCCTTGAGTAGGTACAACCAGTCAAGGAAAGCAGTATACTGAGCTGGCAGCGGGATGTTTGGGAAGATAACTTCCCACGATTCCCTCACATGGGGGCATTGAAAGAGGCAGTGGAAAAGGGATTCAATCGGCCATTGGCACACCTGGCATGTGGCATTTGGGGAGCATTTCCTATGCATGAGTCTCTCTTTTGTTGCCAGTCCGTTCCTAGCACATCTCCAGACAAAGAATTTGAGCTTAGTCGGGATATTCAGATTCCACACCCATTTCCATTTCTCCACATTGTCCATCGTTTGGGGGTCCGTTCCTGACGGGTGAACCGCATGATACGTTGTCTTGACCGTAAACTTTCCATCTTCATTAAATCTCCACGCCCAGAAATCCTTAGCTTCCTCCTCCCCAATCGGGACTCTCAAAATAGCATCTCTTTCTGAAGGGAGACATGTCCCTGAAACAACTCTTCCTTCCATTTTCTGCTTTTCGGATCAATCCAAGTACTTACTCTTGCATGATTTTGAGGGCCACTCTGGATGCAGGCTCTGGGAAGGAAGGGAACCCACGGATCTTGGTCAATCCACGTATCATCCCCGGATCCAATAACCTTAACAGCTCCTAGATCAATGACCTTTTTAGACTCCCACAGACTCGCCCAGATCCAAGATGGTCTGCTTCCTTTTTTAGCCGAGAGAAAATTGCCTCTGGGGAAATAAAGTCCTTTGATGAGCCGGCTCCAGAGTGAATCAGTGTTGTTCATAAGCCTCCAGGCTTGTTTGGCAAGCAGGGCCAGATTGAAATCTCTGAAGCTTCGGAAACCCAAGCCTCCCTCTGATTTTGGGGTACAAAGAACCTCCTTCCTGCACCAGTGGAGGTTGCTTTTCTGCATCGACCCTGACCAGAAAAAATTGCTAAGGAGAGAATCCATTTTCTTCGTCAGTGAAACTGGTAGAAAGAAAAGGCACATGATGAAAGTAGGAATGGCCTGGATAACCGACTTAAGAAGTACCTCCTTTCCTCCATGTGATAGAAGTAGGCTCTTCCATGCTTCCCCCATCTTTTCCATCCTTTGGATAAGGAAGTAGAATGTTTCCTTCTTCGAATTTCCCCATTCTGTTGGAACTCCAAGATATTTTGAATGACAGTTGGAGGATGCAAATCCAATGTGATTGATGATATCATTCTTCTCTTCTGCTGGACCATTCGCGCTGAAGAAAATAGAGGATTTATGTACGTTAACTTCTTGACCTGTCACTGCCCCATAGTCGTTGATGACCTCTAGAATTTTTCCAGCCTCCCGGATGTTAGCTTTCCCAAATATGACCGTGTCATCCGCAAAAAGACAGTGAGTGAGAGTAGGGCATCTCGAGTTGAGTTTAATTCCCTTGATCCGTTCTTCCCTTACTGCTTTATCAACTAGGAACGTGAGGGCATTAGACATAAGGATGAAGAGGAAAGGGGAAAGAGGGTCTCCTTGTCTAATGCCTCTCGAGGGACTGAATCTCTCTGAGGCTTCTCCATTGAACAAAACCGAGAAGCTAACAGTACGGATGCAAGCGCTGACCCATTTGCACCATCTCTCATCGAACCCATATCTCCTTAGGAGGGTCTCCAGACATTCCCACTCCACCATGTCGTAAGCCTTTTTCATATCCAACTTCATCATCATATCTCTTCTATTGCCGAGCTTATGATTCTTGAAATGGTGAAGAGCTTCATGAACGATAATGATGTTATCTTGGATGAGGCGACCTCCAGTGAATGTTGTCTGAAGCTCAGAGACTAAAACGGGTGTCCATTTCTTCAGTCGGGTAGCGATAATCTTTGAGATGATTTTGTACCTGAAGTTACAGCAGCTGATGGGTCGAAATTGGCCAATTGTCTCTGGGTGGTCTACCTTTGGTACCATCACAATGTGTGTATCATTCCACCCTTCAGGCATACTAGCTGATTCAAAGAAATCCTTAACTTCTCTACAGAGGGTTTCACCCACAGTATCCCAATATCTTCTGTAGAATTTTCCCGAGAACCCATCTGGGCCCGGTGCCTTTCTCGCTCCAAGAGAGAACACTGCTCTCCTAATTTCTTCCCTAGTCACTGCTGCACAAAGGTCCTCATTCATCTCTCCTGTTACCATCGCTGGGAATCCCTGAAGTAGGTGGGTAAACTCAGTGGTATCTCTAGCCTTGAAAAGTTCTTTAAAGAAACCAACCGACAAAACCTTTAGCCCTGCCTCATTCTCAATCCAATTTCCCACCTCATCTTTAAGGCGAAGGATTCTGTTTCTATGCCTTCTGTGAATAGTGCTAGAATGGAAGAAGGAAGTGTTCTGATCCCCTTTTTGAAGCCAAAAAACTCTAGAGCACTGACTCCAGAATGCTTCCTCCTCAAGCCAAATTCTGGTCAATTCTGCTGTAAGGGTCTTCTCTTCCTCCACATTTTCTGGAGTACGAGGTGGTTGCTGGAGAATCTCGAGTCTGGACCCTATTTCACTCTCCCTAAGAATATTATTCTTATGGAAATCTTTCGCCCATGCCTTCAGTTCTCTCTCGCATTTGTTTAACTGATTGCTCGATGGCCCTCCTGGATCCCACTCCCTGAAAACAATCTCTTTGCATTCGTCTTTTTCCAGCCATCTCTCGTCCACTCTGAACAGTGTTCTTCTTCTTCTGTTACCTTGATAGTGGAAGTCGATTCTGATTGGGCAATGGTCAGAAGCCACCATCTTTTCATGGAATACAACCGCTTCTCCAAACATCACTCTCCAAGATGGCGAGCACAGCACTCGATCCAATCTAACTCTAACCAAATTTGGGCTAGAGCGTTTATTGGACCAGGTGAATGGGTTGCCTTTGAAATCAATGTCAATGAGGGCATTGTCAAAAATGAACATTTTGAAAGGTTCCACATTATCGTACCTAAGTGGGCACCTCCCTTCCTTTTCATATTCATATATAGCGGCATTAAAATCCCCAACGATGACCCAACTATCATCTCTACTACTCCAAAGAGAGCTTAAGTGCTCCCAAAACTCCCTTCTACCAACAACCGTAGTCGGGGCATGGACAAAAGTACAAAAAAATTTCTTCCCCATGTCGATGCTAACATCCATATAATACTTATCACTACTGATTACATTAATACTAATACCTTCCTTCCACCATAAAGCGAAGCCCCTAGAAGAGTTGATCGGTTCGACATACTCTTTATTGGGGAAAACTCTAAGACTTCTCCTATGTTCTTCCATGAATTCTTCGTTGTTGCTAGTTTCCATAAGGAAGACAATAGAAGGGCTGTGACGTCGAATAAGACGCTTAGCATAACTTCTCGTAAGGGGTTGGCCAAATCCCCTACAATTCCAACTTACAATATTCATGGATCGCGAGGTGGCATTTGGCGAACCACTGCTGCCCTTGTGTCACTTTCTTCTCCATCCCCTATGTCTTCACTTGTCGATTGAGCTTTGCTTCTTTGGTGCTTCTTCTTCTTACTCCTTCCTTTCACTCCTCCTGCAAACATAGAGCTAGATGGGCTCAAAGTAAAACCGTTTCTCCTGGGCTTAGAATAGATTGGCCCTTTCTTTTTTTATAATTTCGGCCCATATCTCCTTCCAATTCCCCCTGAATGTGTTGGTATGGACTCTGGGTCTGGGTGTTGAGTTGCCTGGGCTCCATGTCAATTCTTGGGCTGGCCTGTGAGGTAGGGTTTCCAGGTCCAAGTGACACCTGGGCTCCCATTTGAAACCTTCTCCCTGCCTGCCGCTGCGCCTCTTCCCCTCCGTCGAGACTCAAACTCCCCTGTAGTGCCGCCGATGCTTCCTCCAAATCCCGTTCCAAATTTCTTGCCCCCATACCTTCCCTGTATTTCCCCTTCATCCTCCACCTATTATTCCCTTCTTCCTCCCTTTCATCCTCCTCCAACCGGCGTACAGTGAATCCCGGTGGGATTTGGGGTTGAGCTTCTTCCTCTCTTCTTGCTGATGTGAAATCTGCTGCCACCAACGTCTCTGTGCCATCGATTAATCCCCCCGAGCTGTAATGGTCCCTCCAAGCTTCAGGGTCGGTGGATGGACACCAAGGCTCTTCTTCAATCCTGCTTCTGCTACTGCTTGATTTGTGGGGGGAATCG